ACTTGAAGCAAGAAAGACAGTAGGTTAACATAAGAAACAATGTTAATGGTGCTAACAGAACACAGAAGCAAAACAATCATAAACTTAAAAATTATAATAAAACAAAAATGGTTACTGCCTAGGTCCTAATAGAAAACATAAGCCCAATAAAAGATAATGGGGCCTGAAGTATTTGGATACTACTTTAATGTATTCATTTTGTAAGTAATTACTTTTTTGCAGTCAGTAATTATGAGAACAGGTTGTAACTTCATATGTATAATTACTTTAAAGTCACATTTACATTTATATCTCCCTCACTCTCATGCATTTGCTGAAACAAAAGTTTCCTTTGGTAGGAAGAATTAATAAAATTGATAAATTTCTAGCTAGACTAATGAAGGAAATTTTTTTAAAGACATAAATTACCATATCAGGAATGAGAAAGAGAACATTACTACAGACCTTATAATAAAAGATTACTATAATCAACTTTATGCCAATAAATTTAAAGTTTAGATGAAATGAATATAAATGATCAAAACAGATACAAGAAGAAGAAGAAACTCTGGCTAGCCCTAGATCTATATTTAAATGTTGAATGTATATATTTAACATCTTCCCACAAAAATAACTCGTAGCTTAGGTGGCTTCATTAATTCTATCAAATTCAGTTAATTCTATCAAATATGTAATTCACCCTTTTAACAGACTTTAAAAAAAATCAATAGAGGGAGCAAAGTATTTGATGAAATGAAGCACTTACTCATGCTAAAAATAAACTCCTAAAAAACTAAGATTAAAAGGGAACCGCCTCAACCTGATAAAAAAAAAAAAACATCCACAAAAACCCTACAACAGCGTTTTTAATAGTGGAAAAACTGAACACTCTCTAAGATCAAGAACATAGCAAAGAGGTTATTCTCAACACCTCTATTCAACATGGTACTAAGATTTAAAATGCCACTGCAATTAGCCCCAAAAAATGTTTTAATAAAATAAGATATAAAGATATACAGATTGGAAAGGATAAAGTAAATAATTTGCAGATCACCAGGATAAAGAACTATAACTCAACAATAAAAAGACAAACAACCCAGTTTAAAAATGGGTATTTGAAAAGGCACTTTACGAAAGAAATATAAATGGCTAATAAGCATATGGAGATCATAAACACCACTAGTTATCAGGGAAACATGAAGTAAAAATCACAGTGCGGTAACACTGTTCATTCACTAAATGCGTAAATACGAAGTTCTGATAACATCAAGTGTTAGTGAAGAGTGGAGCAACTAGGGTTTTCATGCTTTCTGGTTAAGAATTTAAAATAGCGTAACCACTTTGAAAAATCATCTGTCGGGCCCTGGCTGGTGTGGCTCAGTGGACTAAGGCAGGGCTGTAAACTAAAAGGTCGCCGTTTCGATTCTCAGTCAGGGCACATGCCTGCGTTGCAGGCTGGGTCCCCGGTGGGGGCCATTTGAGAGGCAATCACACATTGATGTTTCTCTCCCTTCCCCTTTCTCTAAAAATAAATAAATAAAATCTCTTTAAAAAGAAAAGAAAATCCATTTGTCAGTTTCCTATAAGGTAAACATATAATTTAGCAATTTCTTTAAAAAGAAAAATAATTTATTTTTAATGTGTGAGAGAACATCAGTTGCCTCTCATATGCCCCCAGATGGGGACCTGGCCTGCAACCCAGGCTTGTGCCCTGACTGGGAATGGAACTGGTGAACTGGCAACCTTTCAGTTCGCAGACTGGCGCTCAACCCACTGAGCAACACTGTAATCTAGCAATTTCACTCCTGGGTATTTACCTAGAAGAAATAAAAATAAACATCCACAAAAAGACCCATACACCAATGCTCACAAGAGCTTAATTTGTAATAGCCTCAAACTGGAAACAATCCAAATATTCATCAACAGATAAACAAATTGTGGTGTACTCAATAATCTGGCTCCCCCACCAAAAAAATAAAAAAGAAATTTTCAAGAGAAAGGGGGTAATTTCATAATATTGACGGGTTAATATTACTAGCAATATGACCTATCAAAATTATGCACCCTGGTATTGCTCTTTAAGAAGGGCACATCATTTTTGTGGTATTCTTCCCAAACATGAATAACACTTCAATCTATTTCTTAATTTTTACAATTGTACTATGATCAAGTAAGATACTACCATTAGGAGAAAGGCAAACTCTATTATTTTTACAACTCCTCTGCAGGCCTAAAAGTTATTTCAAAATAAAAAGTTTTAAAATGTTAGAGGTTAACAAACAAACAAACAAACAACAAAGCCCTACTTACAGACAGACACAAGAATGAATCACTGAAACATTACGCTGATCAAAGAAACCAGGCCCAAGAGTACACAGTACATGATTCCATTGACATGAACGTCTGGAAAAAGCAAATTAATTTATGGTAACAAAAACCCGTGGCAAAAGGGATAGGAGAGAGAACTGACTTCAAAGAGGCAATGAGGGCACTTTTTTGAGTGATGGAAACATACCTTGATTGTGGTGGTGATAACAAGAGGCAACATGTATTTTGTCAAACTCATTATTTATATACTCAAAATGCATGTGTTTTAACTTTATTTCTCAAAAATGTTTATTAAAATTTTATAAGTAAGTTTATATTTAAAAGTATATCATTGAATAATTAGTATATCCTGGGTAAAGTACCATGATTCAGTCTTAAACTGATATATTAAAATGTATGCACCCTAACTGTTCATTCAATAAATATTTACTGGGCACCTACTATATGCTAGGCTTTAGGTAGCAAACAGAACATAAACGTGAAAAAGAAAGGCTTTGCCCTTATAGGCAAGTAAACAAGCTGCAAGTAACACATAAATTGCACTGAGGCATGATCTACCCAAGATTGTACAGAGAAAACAATGTCTCAGAGAATGCTTCAGAAAGAAAACAGACCCTTTCCAAGAATACACCCTGTGAGTCTATTGCATTTACTCCAGGGATATTTATCTCAAATACTCAAGTGTTAAAAAACAAACAAACAAAACCCCCACTTTTTTTAGTCTTGCCTGTGTACTTTATGGCACGTTTTTCTGATGAAAAGTCCTCAGCAGCACTTCAAGGATACAGTTTGTTTGTTTCACAAATAACCAAGTTATTCACAGATAAATTTAATGAATAACATTCTGGAAAATGGATGAGAGTAGTAAGTCAATAAAGTTGTTTTCTGTGTGCTATATGAAGTGGAGGCACTACCACAAGAAGAGCGACAACGTTTTTCACCCAACATGGAATTGTTGTAGTAGTATATAGTCTCTCTCTCAAGATGACTATTTCAAAGTGCTTTGTCCTCGGTTCTTTAAGGGGGCAAGCCTACTGATATGAAATTATACCTCACTATAAATGGTCATTATTCTAATGATAATTTAAACTTACTCTGTACATGTATGCTTAGGTTTGAATCTTATCTCAACTATATCATATAGCTAAGTGTCCTTGAAGAAAGTCCTTAATGTCTTAAGTGTCATCTGTAAAATGAAGACAATAATACTATCTTCCTTATAGAGTTTTTGTAAACATTAAATATGCAACATAAATGAAATAGTCCATGTATTATATGAAATAATCTGTGTAAAACACTTAGAGTGTGGCTCATAATAAGCACTTGATAATGTTAATAATCACTACTATATAAGCAGAGCACATTACAGTCTAAGAGTAAGAGTAATCAGACTAAGAGTAGTCATTAAAATATGAAGTGAGGGACAAAAAACCAAAAAAGCAAATGAGCTATTTTTCAAGTTTAGAGATTAAGATTTAGTGACTTTTTTCACTAAATAAGAAAATTCATTTTTTTCATTATTCTGTGGGAATATACATAGTTATCTCAAAGCTCAGTAACGAAGTGTGTCAGGCACAGGTCTTCAATACTTATTGAGCTATTTCAATAAGAATGTCTTAATAACCGAGTGGGGAAAGTTCATCACTTTTTGACCCCATTAACCTTTTGGTTACAGGATGATGCTCCAACCAACTGAACTATACCAGCCAGGGCTCAGTGTTTATTTTTGATACATAACTTGTTTGGTAAATATCATGGCCATATCTGTGGCAGCTGACTATAGACTACAACTATTCATTTTTGTACATTAATATTATTTATATTTGTACCTAAATTGAACAAATTAAGATTCAGACAGAAGTCAGTTGTCTAATACTGCTATATAAAAGTTACCTGAAGTAAACTTACACAATGTAAAGGTTTTTGTGTTTAAAAGCAGCATGCTTTGGGAAAGTTTGTGAAAGCTCCTTCTCTGAGTGTCACAGTCGTACACACGTGCACGCACATACACGTGTGTACACGTGCTCAACTCGGTCCCTCATCCACACTTCTTCTTAACTGAAGAGACACTGTCATTAACATTTGTACCAGACTGCAAGTATTTTTACAAAAACTTTGTAAGTTCTGAAAACACATTGCAACTATTGACTAACACATTGATTACTTCAAATATATCTTAGAGACAGGAAGGAAAAAGCAGCACAGTGCTAGTGTTTAAGGTGTATTTGACACCGAACAAAGCTAACAGCTCTAGTTTTTAAAAAGTCTTTACATAGTATGTGTACAATCATTTCAGTGAAAAACGAACACATTTTCCATTTGTCTTAAAGATAATTATTAAAATTTACTGATGAAGGTCTACCTTATGGTAGAGTGAGAGACACAAAATTCCATCCTTAAAGAACAGCTTAATAAAATAAAAGCCAAAAGTGCCCAAATATACACAAATATACTATTTCACCACATCATTTCTTACCAGGTTCTCTAAACTAATTTAGCACTTGTTCTACCTATCTGTACAAACTAAATGTCAGAGATATCTGGTAATTTTAATACTCTCAAATCTCATAGAAGCAGCTTGATAATAAGATACTCTGGAAGCTAAATATATTATTAAATCAAAAAGTGTTTACTGAATTGCCTACTATGGACCCACTATAATATATCTAAAGCAATGAAAAAGTGCTACTCACCAGCAAGTGTATAATCCATGTCAAAACCAAAACACTTTATTTTCTCCATGGCTAAACTTCGGTTCACAAACACCCTGAAGAAAGGAATAAAAGATATGTTAATTAACACTGAAACCAAAAAAAAATATTAACTTTAATATAATTATTTGACTTTCTATAGCTTCTCATTGAAATACCAATATGAAAAGTCATAATAAAATTATTCAAATCATTTGTATACCTTCAGTAAAATCAGATATTATATGAAAACATGTGGATTTTCTTGTGTTTTGGTACTAAAAACACCATGAAGTCAAAACTTCAAGAATTAGCTCTCTTTTTCAAAATATAATCCTATAAAATAAGTTTATTTCTGAGATTTTATGATTCATTCACTCATCCATATGCAATTTATTTAATAAACAAAGCTTCATATAAGCTACCAGGTACCAGATACTAAAGACAAAAATATAGACTCATTCAACAAACATTGTAAGTATTAACAAACGTTAATACTTCTTGAACTCTGGCTGGTGTGGCTCAGCAGACTGAGCCGGCACCTATGAACCAAAACATTGCCAATTTGATTCCTGGTCAGGGCACATGCCTGGGTTGGGGGCCAGGTCCGCAGATGGGAGCATGTAAGAGGCAACCACAATCGATCAATATTTCTCTAGCACAATGATGCTTCTCTCCCTCTTTCTCTCTCCTTTCCCTCTCTCGAAAAATAAATAAAATACTTTAACAAAAATATTTACTGATTGCCTACTAAGTTCCTGTTAGGAACTATACTACGGCAGTGAGTAACTGCCCTCATGAAACTTCTGTTTCAACTTAGAATCTCTACCCCTGAGAAATTCAGCCTAGCAGGAGAAAGACTTATAAGCAAATAACTTACAGCAATTCAGTAAATGCCATAAAGTATCATGGAGAGGAGAATACCAGTTCTTTAGAAACCAGAAGCGGTGCCTGAGCTCAATCTTAAACAATGAGAAGTTTTCCAATAGAACAAAGCAACAAAGGCAATCTGGGCAGAATAACCAAGCAAGGACAAGATTTAGAGTGAACTATGAATTTATTGTGGCTGAAACTGAGTAGTTTTCTTTGGTTTTGTTTTTCTGTTTACTTTTGCAAAGTAAGGTTTTCTAGAGGAACAAGGGTGGAGGAAAAGGGCAACAAAAGCTACGAAGAGGACGTCTGGCCAAGATGGAGGCATGGGTAAACACACCTTACCTCCATACATAAATAACTACAGAAAAAATCACACCTAGACCTCAAAATAAATCTGACCCAGATTTGTCAGAAAATCGAGCTGTATGGAAGTCTGACAACCAGGGATTTAAAGAAGCCACATTCATCCAGATAGGTAAGCGGGGTGGAGACACTGAAAGGCGGTGAATGGGTGGTCCCACATTCACATGTGGTGGATGAAAATTTGAAAGGATACCTTGGAAGCAAGCGATCCCAGCCTCAGACCAGACCACCCAACCCAGGGTTCCAGCACCAGGAAGATCAGTTCCCATAACTTCTGGCTGCAAAAACCAGTGGGGGTTGGGGCGATGGAAGAAACTGCAGGATTCTCAACAGACTTCTCTTAAAGGACCCACAAAGGACTTAGGACTCATGCAGACCCACACTCCCAGAACTAAGCACCAGGGCAATAGCTGGAAGGGCACAAGTGGCATTTGGGAAAAAGGAAGGAAAGTGGAATGATGGGCAAGGGGGCAAGTGCCAGGGAGACAGCTTCCTCTCGGGCAATCTCCAGAGGCCAGGCAGCAGCACTGCCCCCTCTCTGAGCCCTCCGAGACACAGAGCCACAAAGCGGTGAAGCCAGTTACCCAGCCCTGGTGACTACCTAAGACTCCACCCCACACAATTTACAGGTGTCTTTTCTACAAAAGGCCACATTACAAACACAAGGAGTCAAACAGCTCTTCCTGATACACAGGAAGGCTGCCAAATTGAGACAAAGAAATATGGCCTGAATGAAAGAACAAAGAAAAACTCCAGAAAATGATCTAAATGAAATGGAGATAAGGAACCTATCGACTGCAGAGTTCAAAACACTGGTTATCAGGATACTCAAAGAAATCACTGGGCACTTCAACAGCATAAAAAAGACCCAGGCAGAAATGAAGGTGGTGGCATTACGTGAAATAAAGAAAAATCCACAGGGAACCAACAGTGGAGGGGATAAAGCAGAGATTCAAATCAACAATTTGGAACATAAGGAAGAAAAGAGTATTCAATCAGAAAAGCAAGAAGAAAAAAGAATTCTAAAAAAAATGAGAATAGATTACGGAGCCTCTGGGACATTCCCAAATGTACCAACATCAAAATCATAGGGATGCCAGAAGGAGAAGAGGAACAGCAAGAAATTGAAAACTTACTTGAAAAAAAAAATAATGAAGAAAAACTTCCCTAATTTGGTGAAGGAAAGAGACATGTAAGTCCAGGAAGCACAGACAGTCCCAAACCAGTTGGACCCAAAGAGAGCCACACCAAGACACATCATAATTAAAATGCCAAAGATTAAAGATATAGAAAACCTTAAAAGCAGCAAGAGAAAAGCAGAGAGTTTCCTCTAAAGGAGTTCCCACAGCACTGTTAGCTGATTTCTCAAAAGATGCTTTATAGGCAAGAAGGGACTGACAAGAAGTATTCAAAATCATGAAAGGCAAAGACCTACAACCTAGATTACTCTATCCAGCAAAGCAATTGAAAGGCAGATATAAAGTACTTCCCAGACAAGGTAAAACTAAAGGAATTCATCATCACCAAGCCATTATTATATGAAATGTTAAAGGGACTTATCTAAGAAAAAGAACAAAACTATGAACATTAAAATGGCAACAAATTCACAAGTATCAATAACTGAATCTAATAAAGAAACTAAGCAAACACGCAGAACAGAACAGAAACATAGATATGGAGATCATTTGGAGGGTTATCAGCTGGGAGGGGAAAGGGGAGAATGGGGTTTGAAAAGGTTCAGGGATTAAGAAGTACAAATTGGTAGGTACAAAATAGACATGGGGATGTTAAGAACATTATAGGAAATAAAGTAGCCAAAGAACTTACATGCATAACCCATGAATATGAAGGGAGGGGAATGCTGGAGGGAATGGGGGTACCAGGTGGAGGGGGGCAAAGGGGGAAGAATTGGGACAACTGTAATAGCATAATTATATATATATATATACACACATATGCATATACATACATACATATATATGTGTATATATATATAAGCTATGAAGGTAAAAAGGTTAACAGGGGTCAAAATCATGAAGACTTTGCACGCTATGGGAGTATGGATGTTATCCTGCAGGCAAGAACAAATGATCAGAATCTGAAGAAATAAAACAATCTGATTCAAATTTCAGAAGGGTCAGGGAAAACTATAAATATAATAGCTGTAGATCATCATCATGATGGTGTTTGGGATAAGTTTCAACAGCTTCTGAAAATAAGCTTTGTGGCCAAAATTACTGAATGAATGCTCATTACCAAATCTTTTCTTTGCCTTTATTTCATAAGTAACTGTGAGAAATGAGAATGTTTTAAATCACCTAGGAAACCAGTTAAAATAAAGATGCCTGGGTTGCGCTCGCCCACTAATGTCTAGGCCAACAGTCTCCAAAGAAGAGTTGACTGTACCAGGGGATGCGGAAGACTCTACTGGGGTGCAAAAGAAAAATATTAGATCTCCTACTTATATTTATTTCATCATTTAAAAATGTCTAATTTGTGTATGTTTTCTATAAATAAGGACGGTAGTATAAATTATAAATAAGTATGTACAGGAATGAATGTTACATATTTTAACTGCTGAAATACTCAAGAGTTTGGAAACCATTGATCTAGGTATTGACTTTCTTTCTAATGCTTCACCAACATGTTATTGTTTTAACTTTTAATAGAAAACATTTCCTCTCATTTTAAAATGCATATGCCAATTTTATATGCAGACAAATAACCAAACATTAACTTAAAAACACTTCAGTTGGCCCTTGAATTCAGAACTTTTCTGAAAAATATAAAAATCATTATTTACTTCACAGTGTACTATGCATACTAGATTAGCTCTATAAAACTCTTAATTCCTGAGAGGTGTTATATAAAATATTTACTTTCCCTAAAAAAACTAGTCTTCTGGAAAATCAGTATTTACTCTGCCTCACGTTAGTAGTGGAGGAAAGGGGAAAAAGAAAGTGACACAGCGATTTTCAACCTTTTTCATCTCATAGTATGCATAAAATAATTACTAAAATTCTATGGCACATCAAGGAATATTTTTTTTTGCCAATCTGAACAAAAAAATAGGTATAATTTTGATTCATTCACACCAGACAGCTATTGTGGTGTTAGCTGTTGCCATTTTTTCTTTGGCATTCTCAGGGAAAAGAGGTCAGTGCCCCCGACTCAACAATAGTCAGGTGCTGCATGATTTAAGAATTCCTCTGGCCATGAGTTGAAAATTGCGGGAGTAACAGAGAGTTGAAAGATATAGGAACCAGAGAATAAATGACACCCATCCCAACCTTTTTTAAACATACCACTACCCCAAATATATGTCTGCTTTATTATCATTTTTCCCAGTTACATAAATCTTTTTGAAGTCACAACAGGAGTAAAAGAAACAAAATAATGTTTCTAACTCTGGAAACTATGTTACCACTGACGGTTAGCTTTTCAAACACACTTTCAATTCAGGCTAGGGGGCCAAATGGATCAAATCCTTGCTCAGAGCCCAAACAGCTGACATGCCTAAAATATTCTGTGGGAATTCAGGCAAGAATGACTGGGAAGATTTTTCTTCCTTGTGATGCAATCCAGGAGAGATATGTAGGACCACATAATAAAATAAACAGCTTTGATTCTGATAGAAGAATGCCGTGAGCTGGTTTCTGGAACAGCGAAAGTCGGGGAAGAAAAGAGATTTGCTAACATCAATCAGTACTGAAGGCACAAAGAAACTATCCACATATCAGTAACAAAAATCTATTGTTTTTTTACAAAAAAAATCACTGCTAAATATCTACCAAATCATACTCTTTCCTCTGTGACTAGTCACTTGATTCAATCAACACAT